CTAATGAATGTTTTTTTTTTATGTTTATTAATAATATATATATGTAATTAGCATATAAGTCTCAACATACTATGGATAAAAATAATAATGTTGAGAATGTTGATGTGGGTGTAGAACTATATAATAAGAAAATTTTATGATATATTATAAATGTTTTGTAAGAAAATTATATAAATGATAAGAATCAAAATCATTGAAAGTTTGTAAGGATGTATTCAATTTAGAATTTCAATGACTTTTTTAGAATTTTTAAAATAAAAAATTGATAAAATTCTATGAATGTTTTTTATATAGATTTTTATAGAGTCTTATAAAGTATTAAAAACTTTTAAACGACTCTATGAAAGTCAATCAAAGTTTATTAAAATCTCTCAATTTAAAAGTCTTTAAAACCCTACAAAAGTCATTATTGAATACACCTCCCTTAAATAATTATATATCAATTTAAATATTCTTAATATATTACAATAGTTCCATTCCGTGCATCGCACGGGTGAAAATACTAATAATAATAATAATAATAATAATAATAATAATAATAATAATAATAATAATAATAATAATAATAATAATAATAATAATAATAATAATAATAATAATAATAATAATATAAATATCTAAAATTTAAATTTAAATAAATCTAAAATTTTAATATATATAATATAAATATCTAAAATTTAAATTTAAATAAATCTAAAATTTTAATATATAGTAATCAATTTTTGGCATTAGAAAATATGGACTCGTTCAAAATACAAGGATAACGCCAAGCTAAAGTCACGGTTTCAGTTCCTTCTTATTTGCCTTATTATTAAATTATTGCCATCTCCCATGCAAAACTAACCATAAATTACGCAAATTAAACTCCATAACCACCAATAAAATGAAATGTGGTGCAAAATTAATAAAAAAAATTCCCGAAAATACCCATCCCCCCTCATATATAAACCTTCTCCCCCATCACCTTCAATCACACAACAGCAAATTAAAAACACAAAAGAGAAAAAGAATTGGAAAGGCCAAAAACAAATAAAGAAATAAAGAGCTAGGTGGGTTTTCGGTGACTCCTTTCCTCGAGGTTTCTTGCCGATCGCACCTTCCTCCAACTTTTTTCACTTCATTAATTCCTTCTCGCCGGCCGCTCATTTTATCTATAATAATAATGGAGATGAAGAACATCGCCTGCGTCGCCGCTTTTGCCGTTGCCGCCGCCGCCTCCATGACCGTGGCTGTGGCTACTGAGGCTGCCACCGCCCCCAGCGCCGCCGCCCCTGGCCCTGGCGCCGCCAGCGCCGCCGCCGTTGCTGCCCTGCCCGCTTTGGGATCGATGGTCGGCGCTTCCCTCGTCTCCTTCTTCGCCTTCTACATGCACTGAATGATATGATGATCCGGTTATCTGAAAATCAACCTTCATTGATCTAATTTCAATGGGGGAATTTTAAAAAAAAAAATACTAGAATTAAAAAAAAAAATAATAAAAAAGTTTGCTGTTAATTAGCGATTTGGATGGATGCATGTACGTCTTTATCTTATGCAATATATATGCAATAAAGAAATTCTTTGGTGTATGATTGTGTATGCCATTTCATTCATTTTTTACTTTTCTATTATGTAATTGGTGTACTTAGTATTGCTTTAATAATCTTTAATCATTTCAATGTCACCAATTTTAAAGAGAATTGAAGCGGTGGAAAAAGAATAAATTGATCATTTAAATTACATTGTTTGATAGAAAAGAATAGAATGATTGGAATTATATTGAAAGTGAAAATTTTAATGTTATTAACATGAATGCTTTAATGTGATAAATTGGAAGTGCATAATATGTGTAGCTGGGTATAGTACAGAATTGTATATATACATTGGGTTACCCTGGGTATATTGAATCTAAGGGTCGTTTGGTTCACGGAATGTCAGATTACCTTATGGAATGTTAGATTGCTGGGAATGTTAGATTACTAGGAATGTTAGATTCCTGTGTTTGGTTAAAATTGGGATATGTAATATAATCATGTTTGGTTTAGGGTTATCTTTTATACACACTATAATATCTTTAACATATTTTCATATATTTTAATAAATTTAAAAATTAAAATAAATAAATAAGATAACGGTATCATATATAATTACATGATTTTAAAATATTAACTAAAATCTTGAACTTGAGAAACAAAATTATTTTATATGCTAACATAACATAATAAAAATAAAAAATATATATAATTACAAAATAATTATATATATATATATATATATATATATATATATATATATATATATATATATATATATATATATATATATATATATATATAATAAACTAACATAACCAAGGTTATCTTACATTACTTAAGATTTTGAAGGGAATCACATTCCCTTCAAAATCCTATGTGGAGGGAATGTTAGATTCCCTAAGATAATATGAACCAAACACCGGAATGTGAGATTTGGAATGTCACATTCCCTTGGTTATCCTATATAACCCGAACCAAACGCCCCCTAAGTTCTTTTGATATCATATGAAGGATTTAATTAGGAATAAGGGTCAAATAGGCCATCGAACTGCACACAATAAAACAATTAGGCCACTGAATTTAAAAAACCAACAATTGGGTCCCTAAACTAATCAATTTCAAACAATTCTTCCAATTTGAAGGTTTCCAACAGGTCAACAGGTCATCCTTCCAAATTAATTATTTTTTAAAATTTAAATTTTAAAAATTAATTATTTAAAAAAAAAAAAAAAAAAAAAAAAAAACTGGTTCCACCGTCTCCGGCTGGATTCCAGGTTTTTTTTTTTTTTTTAAAAATTTATAAATAATTAATTTTTAAAATTTATTTTTTAAAAAAATAATTAATTTGGGAGATGACTTGTTGGAAACCTTCAAATTGGAAGAATTGTTTGAAATTGATTAGTTTAGGGACCTAATTGTTGGTTTTTTAAGTTCAATGGCCTAATTGTTTTATGGTGTGCAGTTCGATGGCCTATTTGACCCTTATTCCATTTAATTATTTAATCTGAAACTGGAACTGCGAGTTGGTTTAGTAAGACGATTGAATGTTTATGCAATTCTTATACAATGGATCACATTTGCGCGCATTGTAAATGTTAGTTTAAAAAATTATGTGTCTGCTGTTGATGTATTATCTATCTGTAATTAAATTTTTTATGTGTTTGTAAATAAATTGAAGGCATATGACATGTTATCTATAAACACAAAATATTTGGGTGATAGCAATTAAGTCACCAAAATTAGTATTTTTAGCAAACGATTGGGATGATGTGTATATTTTATTTTATATTTTATTATTATTATCCTACTAATAATTTAAAAATAATTAAAAATAATTTTTAAAATTTTGTTTTAATAATTCAAATAAAATAATTATTTTGAAAACATTTAAATATTAAAAAAAAAAAAAAAAAAAAAAAAAAAAACTCCCTTCGTCCCAGGGTCTCCGGTCAGGTTTTTAAAAAAAAAAATTCAAAATAATTATTTTATTTGATAGTTGATAGTTTTTGTACCTGTTATCATATTATTATCAAGTTATTTGTTTATATGTACAAAAATTGTTAACGGTAGGTATAGGATGTGTTAACTGAATGTATACAGAATGTGTTATGCTGTACATCCGTGCACACGGATGCAAAAACGACGTCGTTTTGACTAAAAACGTGCGTCCCACTTTAAAAAAAAAAATAAAAAATTAAGTTTCGATTCTCAGCAACAACATTATGTTGTTCATTCATTCTAGATTTTTAGTTCATTCATTCTGGATTTTTAGTTATGAAATTATGGATGTGTAGTTATGCAATTCTGGATTTATAGTTATGAAGTTATGGATGTGTAGTTATGCAATTCTGGATGTACAGTTATGAAGTTATAGATGTATAGTTATGCATGCAATTTTGGATTTATAGTTATGAAGTTATGGATGTATAGTTATGCAATTCTGGATGTATAGTTATGAAGTTATGGATGTGTAGTTATGCAATTCTGGATGTATAGTTATGAAATTATGAATTTTATTTTTTAAAAGTCGACGTCAAAACGACGTCGTTTTTGCATCCTTGTGCACCATGCATGGTGCAGACGGATGCATAGCATAACGCTCCGTGTGAAGGAATGTGGGCTTAATTGCATATTTTTCTTTTTGTTTTTTTTTTTTTAATTTCTTAAGAAGCTAGGTCAAAAATAGATATTGGACCCTCTAAAATTAAAGTCATGTGTTGTTGGGCATTATGCATAGCCAAAAATCGGCTTTGTTTGATGTTGGCCTTTTTCTGGCAATGTCTGGTGATGGTACCATCATTATTGCATGGACCATGGTCCACACAATTGTTTGGACTATAAATAAAAAATAATTTTTAATATACTAAAGGTACATTTTTTATATACAAAAATAATGTACTTTTAATATATTAAAAATGTAACTGATATTCATGATCTACACATTCAAGTGAAAGTGATGGAAATGGCAGCTTCCTAGCTGCGATCAACGGTCCACTAGCTTGCGCTCAAAACCCACTAATAGCGGAGGTCATGCCTTGTAAGAAGGCTCTTTCGTGGTTGGGGGGTAAGTTTTTGTTAATTTTTGTGTCAACACTGATTGTTTGAATCTCTACTACAGGATACCTAAGGGATGGTCTATGTTGGGATGGTCATTAGTGATTGTATTTCTATTATGAGCTCTATAAGCTCCTGCCGTGTTTCTCACCTTCAGCATTTAATGAATCAACTCGTTCATGCTTTAGCTAAAGCGGTTGATTCCTAAAGTGCCCCGACCCTTTACAATGGGAGGGGTCCCCTCTTTTCTTCGGAAGTGCCCCGACCCTTTACAATGGGAGGGGTCCCCTCTTGTCTTCTTGACTTACTGAATTAGCCAAAGCGGTTGGTTCCCAAGGTGGCCCTATACAATGGGAGGGGTCCCCTACCTCTTTTGTTCTTGACTTACTGGATTAATAATAGTTGTATGCTGTTGGTTAAAAAAAACCAGTAAAACCAAACAAAAGTCCAGATAAGATGTAATATCAAATTTATCATTATCAGTTGTAGAATTTCATCTACCACAGCAACTTCATGCAGAATTGCATATTAGTGTTTCTTGCTAATACCCTGTACTTTTATTTTTACTTTTCCTTTTCACCATCAATTCTAGGACAAACAAAAAATCAGAACTAAATCCCCTTTGCATTAACAAATGCAACTTTCCAGCCCGCCTTTTCCTTGTAGAGGGAAACAGAGAACATAAAACGATAAATAAAGCAAAACACTACCATCCACTAAACCCTTTCTTTCCACTATTCCGTCACCCAGCTTGGTTGATGTATGATCAAGCAAAACATAATCAACGCTACCATGCACGTTCATCCTTCCAAGTTGTTAGACGTTAGAGGGCCATCAAAAGAATAGTTTTTACAGCTCCAAAACTTCAATTTGTTTTCTGTTCAGCCCGAACATATGTCATGCTCCGAGCAGTCATAGATGACATGGCATTGTTTGAGGCTCTTGCTGTACCAACATTTTCTGTTGAAGTTAACTTAGCATCACGCTTCCATTGCATGCTCCTTGCACCAGGTTTGATCGGGAGCTGGGGGGCCCTATATACACTCGGTATGCCTCGGGGAAAAGGAACCCTGCCAAACCTAGAAGTGGCGAAAGGGCCTCCTCTCACTACTCGAGGCCAAGTCATGACAGATGTTGGTTCTGGAGGAGCCGAGCCTTTCTTCACAACCTGCATTAAGGCAAAACCATAAGATCTGGTCAAGTAAACAAACATATTTTGCTCAAGAGGTGAAAAAAGCAAGAAAGACAAAGGAAATAGAATTTTTACCATTTCCTAACACTACAGTTAAATCCACACTCATACAAGTTCACTACCTATGCACACTGATCACTCAAGAAATAGAGAAATAGACCTAAACAATCAATAGTCACTGCACATCAATACTCACATCTGATAAAGCTTCCACTTTTAAGGATAAGTTTCAAAAATGGAAGTGTGTGAATATGTTACAAGCTTGTGAGATTGCCAAGGACTTCAAATATTTAACATTTTCAAACAGCAGGACTATGCAGAACATCATCCAGTTATAGGTTGATCACCAGTAGAAAATAACAGAAGTTAGAGAAGTAATTGACCAAGAAGATTCACATGAAACTGTCAGCAACCAGAAAGCAAGTCACTTGTAAACAGACCTTGAGGATACGTGACATGAATGAGGTTCCATCAAGAGATAAAGCACGCTCCGCTGATTCCTTTCTCATGAACTCCACATAAGCTGACCTGCTTTTGCAACAACTTTAGACAACCGTATCGAGATTCTTTTAGAAGAAAACAGAGCTACTCAGGATAAAGGACCTTACCCTTTAGGTTGTCTAGTTGCAGCATCAGTCAAAATGACCACTTTAAGCACTTCTCCAAACTTATTAAAGTGTCGTGAAAGACTGTCCTTTGTAGCAGCAAAATGAACCTGATATTAAAAAAACAAAAAACAAAACAAACAAACAATGAAAAAAAAAATAAAAATAAAAACACCCCGGAGGGGGAGCAGGGAATTAGTAATTAGTAATGATATGGTAACAATGCACTCCTGATCCATCCGGCCAACTGAAATATAAGATTGTAGTTGATTACATTATTGACAAAAATTGTCCGGGAATCAGTATCTACTGGGGCTGGACCAGTAGAATATAAGCCTGAACAAGACAAACAAATAAAGAGTAACCAATAAGATAAAGTGGGAAACACATCAGATTACAACTGAAAAACAGCAATGCACATATAGTAGGAAGAATTTAATGGTTTTTGAAGTACATCTGTACATATATGAATCTGATCCTAAATACACTAAAAAAATACTTCCATTAAGGACCTCACAAGGAAAATAATGAACTAAAAACTAAAAAACAGAAGATAAGACTGACCAGGAACAGACTGTATCTTTTGGGATTCCCTTTCTGTATCTGCACTGGGCTTCAACTGAACCACAAAGATGCATATGATCATGTAAAATGTTTGAATCTAGTACAGATGTTCTAGGCAAAGAATAAAAGAATATATAAAATCAAACAGATCTTACACTCCTATTCTCAACTGTCACAGGATCACTGTTCTTTTTCAAAAATGGCATGCGAAGCTTGGCAGCCACAGCCCCACTGTTTTCTGTAGATTCACAAGCCTCTACTCTCAATGCCTTCCTTGCCTCCTGATATTGAGGTGATTTCCAAGTATTCACATTCAGGGATCCAGTCATCATCTTACGAGAAGCATTTCGTATGGATGTAGGTTGATCCTGATTCTTTAATGCCTTAGGCATTATTCCATCCGCAGTGTTAACCACACTGTAGTCAACCATCAGTGGGCTAACACCCGCCTTTCCAACAAATGTGCATGTGGCACCCAAATCCTCTTGGCCCACAACATTAATGTCATTATAACCTCCATCTGATCCAGGATCAAAAGTCATCCCAGTGTTGCCATGCAATTTTCTAGCATACTGTCCAGTATAATTTCTTTGATGATACGTTGGGGGAACTTCCATAACATCAACAAAAGTTTCATCTTCCGTATCTTCAGCAATATCTTCCCTTGACTCCTCTACCAGAGCTGAGGTATCCATTGTGTTAGCGGCATGACCAAGCCTATCAAACACATTAGCTGAGGACCTAACCTTTGTCACATCTTTGGCAGCTTCAGCAACAGCTTTAATAGCAGTCACAATGGCATTCGGTCCTCTTGCAACAGATTGTTTTCTGTTTAGGTATTTTTCTATTGAAGAGTCCTCCAAGGATGTAGAAACCACAGAGCGAATACGCTTCAGTGATGGTTCAGTAGCTAAATGAGACGGCCTTGAGGTAGCCACAGCATCTCGCACTGCAAATTGCAGCAACCTCCGCGGAGCGGCAATTGTTGCTTGAGAAATGTCTTCTCTCTATCAAAAAGCAAGAAGCTGGGATTAAATAGAGGAGCATCCAAAACCCAAGTCACAATTTTTTTCTACCAACATAATGAACAGTGCCACCATCTCAAGGAGCTACAACAAAAGGTAATAATGAGTATGGCTAAAAAATGATTTTCGTCTTGTCCTCTATTTCTACAATAGTATCAAACTTATCTGGCTGAATAGACTGTCTTGAATAATATAAGTTAGACGATGGTGAAATATAAGCACATGAACACAGAACACTGCTTCTATTGGTATTATTCATTTTCAAAACCAATAAATTATTTGTTTTCATAAGCAAAAAGAGTTATGCACTTTGGTATCTTATTGATCTAGGCTGAACAGGAAAGGCAGTGCACATGCAACCAAATCCTCATATTTCACAGGAAAGGAAAGGATATATTTCACAATATGCTCATTCAAGCATCTTAATATTAATATTCCAAAATACACCCACCTAATAGTACTCTAACCCTTTTTACCCAACATACTAAAACCATATGTTGAGAACTAATAGACCAAGATCCCATTTTCCACAAAAATTACATTACACTCTTATACTAAAAGAGGAAAAAAGGCATTATTTCACCCATGTCTAAGGCAGAAATCTAAAGAATTTTGCCAATTATAGAATTGGAAGGGTACTTAAATTTACATGACCAGTAATTTCTAATAGAGGCTAATCAGCTTATACAGTATTAAGTTGCTTTCACTAAATACACACACACATATATATAAAGATTTTGATAGATCATTAATTTCAAACAGATGAGCCATCATGCATAAACATGTAAACAACCAGTACTTCAGCTCATAGTTTCAAAACTTAAAAGTATCAGCAAAAAATACCTTCATTTTACGTTGATAGTCATGCCGACTTCTCTTCCTCTGAACTTCTGGTTGGGGTGAGATAGATCGTTTTATACGACCAGGTTTTTTATGTTTTACCTCTTCTCTGTGACTAATATCAACCACAACACTTCGTAGAGGTGGGTGTTGATCTGTATCTCTCACCAGCCCTTTCCACTCCCTTCTGTGGCGGGGTCTTGATTTGTCTGATTCAACTTTGTTAGATTCAGATCCCAATTGGCAAGTGTCATTCTTACCAGCCTTCTCATCACTGGCAGGTCTTGTTGTGATCACATCATCAAGAGGGTTTTCTCTTTGTTGTACATATAGATTTAAATTTGAACCAAGATGATCCCACAACCTTAACAAGATAATGACATCAGCAACGAGAATGACCATATACTCAAAACCAATTACTGCAAGTGCAATTTACACAAAATAAAACAATTACCATGAGACAAAAGAGTCACTGTCATCACCAAGGAAAACATCCAATTCATTCCTTGCTTCTTCTTTATGTCTTCCATTTTTAAGCAAGACTATTACATATTCCTGAAGACACATAACATACAATTACAAAACCTCCAGAACCAAAAAAAATCTCTTGTTAAACACTTACAGAATTATATAGCAAGTTAACTTTAGTAGTTCACCACAAGTATATCACATTTTACAAGGATAAAAATAGTTCCAGGATGTAAAGATAAGATCCACAGATAACTAATAACTACCAAAACAAAGTACTGTATATCAATATCCCCCAAAGCAGGTCAGGTTTTAAGGGCACATTTAGTTATAGAAAATGTTTTCTATTTTCCATCTCCAGTTTTCCAAAATTTTCTTAAGTTTTTATTTTCTATTGAAAATTAGAAATATGTTCAAATTCAACTATTTTCCATAAAATACAAACTTATTTGAAGTCCAGTTGTTTTATTTATATACAGTGATAGTGGTGGATAAAAAAAATCAATGATGGTAATAAAGATAGTTAATGAGTAGGTAGGTGAATAGTGGTGGGGTGTAGGTAATGATAGTAGTAGAAAGATAAGTGAGGACGAAGCCCATAGGGTTATGGTGATGATTATATGTGAAGTTAGGTATGTTTCCATATTGGGAAATTTTGAAAATGTATTTTACAAATTTCTTTATTAAGCTGGAAAAAAGTACTTTGTTTTCCATTTTTAGAAAATGGGAGAATTCTTCACTTACTAAGCAGGCTATAAGTGTCTCCGCGAAAATAGCATTATCCAGCATAATCACATACTCACAATTACTTTAGTTTACAAAGTAATACTGAAAATATTTTCTGCTACACACCTATTGTTTACAACCAAAAACTGTCAGTTACTCTCTCAGCTTCGCATGCTCTAGTTAAGTCCAAGACCTCATAAACATGAATGAGACCTTCATCAAAGGAAAATTATGTTGTGGACCATGGATAAAAGTTCATTTTAATATATTGAAGGTTCATTTTTTGTGTACTGAAGATTCATTATTTGATAGTATACCAAATAATGAACATACAGTACACAAAAAATAACACTCAATGTATTAAAAATGTACCTTCAGCATATTAAAAAATGAACCTTATGTCAATGGTCCACCTTACAAGGTGGACCATCCATGGTACAATGATTGTTCATCAAACAGGTAAGGTTATTGGTTCCCTATCACAAAAGTTCAATGGACAATAATAATATTAACCCCCATACTCATGTCAAAAGCTCTTCTTTGATTACTAAGTTTCACCAATATCAAACAGTCACATTGAAAAGATCAAAACAGCATGCTTATCAAAATCAGTACACAAGACAACCTTGTAAACATCAATAGAAAGCCTCAAACAACAAACCACTGTTTCCTTCTTTCATCGCAGGACTAACATTCAAATTCAATTAATAGCATATATACAGCAAGCTGGCAAAAGTATAGGATTGTAAAAGATAATAAGATGTACACCAAGCAATCAAGTTTAGAAAGGATTATAATAAACGGAAAATCTAACAAGTACCACAGACCACAGTTAGCTTGAGCAAGTAACATCAAGGGACCAGCATTTTACCATCTCATAAAACAACCATAAATATATTAAACCAATATAATATATTTATTCCTGTACTTGTTTAGAGCTTTCATTCATTGAACAAAGAAAGTGAGGATTGAATTGAATGTCACAAGGACAAGCCTAGCATAAGATATACATACATACATACATACATACATACATATATATATATATATATATATATATATATATATATATATATATATATATATATATAAGAACATAAAGAAAACTGCCCTTACTACTGATAAAAGAAAACCAAAAATTTTGTGAAAACAGAAAAGTTAGGTGGAATTAAATGAACCATTGTTTCTTGATGTTAGGTTTTCCATAATTCCATAAGTGAAATTTGTCTTTGTCCAACATAATCAAATTTGCACTGGAATAAATTTTAGGTTTTCCATGGGTATAAATTGTTTGCATAGTTAGACAAGTCCATCAACTCATAAAAACAAAAACTGAGCTTATGTAAAATATCAGCACATGAACTTCATATAGAGAAGCTTCACAGACTCTTACAAGAGCCTTTAGCATAAAAACTGGGGAATTTGATCAAATGGTTGCATAGGACACACCCTGCCTAAATAATGTCTCTACTATTAAAGGGAAGTAAGGCTGTTGAGACTTACAAACTCTTTCCCTGTAGCCGCAAGCTAAACTATGGAAACAGCTCTTATCAATCAAACTGCATAACTACTAACAGCCCTCATTGCACAGCAGCATAGCACAATGCTGAAACTTGGCTCTGTGAACAATTGAAGAAAGCTGTGTATATCCACTACTCAGGATATAATGGGCAACTTAATTCATTCAATATTGAATGTCATGCATGAATATATGTGGCAATAGTTACAATCACCTAAAAACTTCCTTAATAATGTCAATTCTGTATTTCTGTTTGAAAAACACAAACTAAACTATGAAGAAATAAAAAAAATTGTAAAATCGAAATAAATGGAACTCATAATGTAGAGGTAAAGTTGTATATTTCCCATTCATACAGACATCAGACAATGACACGTACAACAGAATCTTCAGCCAATTCAGTTCAACATCAACACTACTGGAAACATGCAGTATATTAACGCTTTTTCACTACAATCATTCTCCGTGATTTACACCAATTTTCTGTCAAAGTTTCAATAAGCCAAGGGAAATTATTCAATGATATTATACCACGAGTGTATCGTCAGTGTAGTCCCCCATGAACTCCTTGAGTTTCTCCTTCACATGCTCCCGAAGCTGCGCCACTCCTTCGCCGCTGAAATCCGCCCTAAACGTCCGATCATCTCCACTCCCCATTTCCCCTCAATTCCAGACCTACTTTTTGCGCATGAACTTCACAAAGTCTTATCCAATCAAAATTAATTATTCCACGCGAAAACACCCTAATCGGCGATATACAAATGCGTATACGCGTATATTAACGTATATGGAATAGTGTGAGAATAGTGATTTTCTGAATAATATGAGCAGCAGTTGAACTTCTTGGAGAAATGATTGTCACACTTCCACGGCGGAGAGAGATTGCCGCCCCCTCCAGAAAAGGGTCATGCTCTGTGTATGGAGGGTTGAGAGAAAGATTAAAAGGACCTGTAAACCTAGGTCGGCATTAGCGTGCCATTGTTTTGAACATTTGGAGAATTGAAACGATTTTCCCAATCTTTGAATACTTTCTCTTTCCTTTTTTATTACTCTTATCTAATCTTTCGATTTCAACCTCCGGAGGAATTTGATTCACGAGGTTTGGTTCATGGAATAGGTCAAGAATGGAATACCGTTTTCAAGAATAAATCTATTTCATTGTTTATTTTATTATTTTATTCAAGGTAATAGCATTCTCGTGAATGAGCTATTCTCTTTACAGGGAGAATAGACAATCCTAAGGGACCTCCATGGTATTAGCTATTCCCAAGTATTTGGGAATAGCTTTAGTACTATAATATCGAAAATACTCTACAACCGCCAACCAAACCAACCAACCACTGAAATATAATTCCTAAAGTCTATTCCTTCCGCGAACCAAACAATAGAATAGAATTCATATTCTATTCCTTGCCTATTTCATTCCTTATGGAATAGCATTCATATTACCTCAAAATTCATTCTGTGAATTAAACGTGTTGTAAGAGTTAATTCCACCAAAGCTTCATTGTCTTTAGGGATGTCAATTGTACCCGCACTCGACGGGGAACCCGATTCTCCACCCTTACGAAGGCGGAGATGAGGACAGAAATAAGAGAGCGGGGATGGAGATTGGGTAATTTTGAATTCCCCGTCGGGGACGGGGACGGAGGCGGGAATGGGGAGTACTCTCCCCCGCCCCGCCCCGTCCCCAATATATATATATATATATATATATATATATATATATATATATATATATATATATATATATATATATATATATATATAACTAGCCTGGGCCGAAAAAGAAGCAAGCATGTATAAAGGGTTAGGTCCAATCATTCTCCTCGTGATTGGTGATGGTATCCATAGCCTTGCTTCATTTTTTGCCAAATCCTGATTTCGTTTTGTTTCTCCCGATCGTCGAGCCTGATCGACTCGACTCTTTTCCCTGCCCCCGGCCTCTCACTTCGTTTCGTTCTTCTTCTGTACCGTCGCTTGAATGAAGACACCCGATCGGCCCGACTTTCCCAAATGCCCCCCCCCCCCCCCTCCCCCAAAAAACCGGCCCTTCTCCTTTCCGGGTCTGGCTTTTTCACGTCGTTTTCCAGGGTCAGTAGTCTCTGCCCTTGCTTCCTCCGTTGCAGCCCGCCGAGCCCCCTTTCTCCTTGGTCCACATAGACAAAATGTAGGACTGATGCCAACAGTTCATCACGGAAGAAAGAACTCACTAAGTCGGGATCACCATGGGGGATAGGACATAACTCCCGTTCTTTAAGGGTAAAAGGTTCATGAATAAGGTAGTTAAGAAAAAAGTGAGCCGGGGATGGGGGGTATCTCTCCCGCCCCGTTGACATCCCTAATTGTCTTTGGTGACAATTTCAAATTTGATCCCAAAGATCCAGACTATCGTTTTTGTCATTTAACATCCATGGCTATTAGTTTTTGGACACTTTTAGTCTTTCTCATGACTTTTTCTATTTTTAGTAAGGACAGTTTTGTCTTTTCATATTTTTCTTTCGTTATTTTTTCGGTTTCAGCCGATTTAATTAGTTTAGAATTTTAGATAACCTCTAATTTTTAGTAACCATATTTTTCAACCGATTTTTAGTAAAGTCTTAATTGGGTCTTGCCGCATTTAAACTTATATATATATATATATATATATATATATATATATATATATATATATATATATATATATATATATAGACACATATAGGTTTAAGTTCTAGTGCAGGTGAAGGTTTTCCGTGCAGTTGTGCGGGTGATTAATGTGCGCAAGTTTTGTACTTAATGTGCGTGAATATTGTGCTTAAGGTGCGTGAGGTTTGTGCTTAATGTGCGTGAGTGTGTAATACTTAATGTGCGTGTGTTTTGTACTTAAGGTGCGTGAGTCTTGTGCCTAATGTGCGTGAGTTTTGTGCTTAATGTGCGTGAGTGTGTACTTAATGTGTGTTGTGGTGTGAGATGTTGTTGTAACTTTAAAGTGCATGAGTTTTGTGGTTAATGTGCGTGAGTTTTGTGCTTAAGTTGTGTGAGTCTTGTGCTTAAAGTGCGTGAGTTTTGTACTTAATGTGCGTGAGTGTGTACTTAATGTGAGTTGTTGTTAAAACTTAAGGTGCGTGAGTTTTTGTACTTAAAGTGCGTGAGTTTTGTGCTTAAGTACGTGGGGGTTGTGCTTAAGATGCGTGACTTTTGTACTTAAGGTGCGTGAGTTTGTGTTCTGAATGTATTTTGTTTGTGTGTTTAATGTGCGTGTGTTGTATACTTAAAGTGAGGCAGTGTAATGGTTAATGTGCGTCCACCCGCACAACCGCACGGGAAGCACCACCCGCACCCCATCCCTCCCCTATATATATATATATATATATATATAATGATATTAGGTTGTTATTTCTTTTTAAACAATTTGTGCGTTAACTCATAAAAACTAAAGTAGGTTGGATTTTTTTTTTTATTGAATTGAGAATTATAAGTATTACAAAATACAAATATTTGATATTAATTTTTAAATTGTAAATATTTGAATATAATTGTAATGCATAATTATTACTGGGGTAAAAAAAATTAAAAATTTTTGCCTAAGATGTATGTAAGTTGATGGAAAAATGCTAGTATTTGGTCAAACTTATAGTGATGTTTTGTCCTATGAAAGAGACCAAGCCATGTCCGTCTACTATCAGCATCCTCATCCTTATTAAGAATGAACTGTACTGGTCAATTTCTTCAAAGGGTATCTTATCAACTTCTTGAACAACTTTATTGGCCTTCTAAGAACACATTCATATATATATATATATATATATATATATATATATATATATATATATATATATATATATATATATATATATAGGATCTGGTGCACACCCCCTTGGCAGGTGAGCTCGTGAGCACCTTTTCTGACCCTTAATTGGTTTAGATGAATGGTCTAGATGATTTGGGCCTTTTTGCCACGTGCATCAGACTTAAGAGGACATTAGGGAGTATTGTGTAATTTCGCAATTACTGTAATTATAAGGTGTATTTAATTTTACCTCGGTAATATGTGTATCTTCTGACCCTTCCCACCTTTTCTTACCTTCTTTCCTTACCCACTTCGTCTTCTGCGTCTCTCCATCACAACTCTCCTTCTCCATCAGAACTCTCGCTCTCCATCACCTTCTCCATCTCCATCATAACTCTCGCTCTCTATCACTGTCTCCCTCTCCATCACAACCACGGCGTTCAACATGGTTGGGTCTACTGTCCGCCGATCGAAGAGGCAACGGAGGTCAAACGGCGTCCCCATTGAAGGTAATCTCAATCCCCCTTTTTTTGCTACTGTTTTTTCCGTTTCGGGGGGTTTTGGGCGTGCCTCCGTTTCGGTGGGTTTTGTGTGTGCTTTCTGTGGTAGTTTGGTGTTCGGACCGCCGGTTCTGGGAGGCCGGATGGGAGGGGGAACTGGGGAGGTGGGCTGGGAGGGGGAACATACAAGTTACAGTTTATGGTTTGTGTTATTATTTAAGTTTTTTTTTTTTTTTTGGGTAATCATATGTTAGTCTAACAATGGGGGGTTTTGTGGTTCTGTAGTCAAGCTATTCTAATGGGGATGTTAGGGGTGTGTTGCATGTGTTTGATGATGGTGAATTTCCGGCGGAATCGTGTTATCCGGCGTCCATGGAATCTTTTTTTTTTCTTTCTTTTTTTTCGGGTCTCTGGGAGGCGGGGACCGGGTAGTTACGTTTTTTTTTTTTTTCTTTTTTTGGGGACTCTGGGAGGCGGGGACTGGGAGAGGGGACTGGGTAGGTACGGGTTAGGTTTTGGGGTTGCATGTGTTTGATGGTGTTGATTTTCCGGCATAAAAGTGTTATCCGTCGGCCATTCATTTTTTTTTATCCGGCTGCAATGTCTGTTAATGGTGCTCTCTGTTAATTTTTATAAATTCTAGATGTAGTTAGTTTATAATATGGATGTGATTTGAGTGAATGGTTTAACATGAAAAATGAAACATAGCGTTGTAATTCCATATGTTGCTGATGGTGGAAAAACACGTAAAATTGCTAGGAATTTGGAAGCTCGCAGGTGTTTATATCTATACTTAATATGGCTTTTTATCATTTTAAATCTGTTAACTTCTTTTGATTCTTTTCATAGGGCAGATATATGCTATTAACATCATGCATTGTAGGTATATAGTATATGCGTTCTGATTAGTATGTGCATATAGAGGATCATGTAGTTGCGGAATACATGTTCAAACATGATTGTGTAGATTTAGTATCGTGGTTTTGTAATTTTAATTTTTGTGCATATTAATTCTTCAGTGCTTTGTTTGTAGTTTAATGCAGTGTGTCATACCCCTTATTTTTCAAAGAAAGAATAGTAAGGGGATGTGGCACAATGGGTATGTGCTTAGTAGTGACTATGCGAGTGCATTTCTAGTTAGGCTTAATTATTTTCATTGTATCCATGTTAACATCCATTCCATGCACATTTTTGTGCATTTTAGACGTGGTGGTATGTGCATTTTTTATCGTTAATTAGTATGTCGCTATATGCTTTTGGTTGATGTGTATGTCGTTTGTGCTTTTCTAGGATATAGTATATGCGTATTGCATTCTCACATTTTGATCTGATTTAATTTGGATAGGTACAATGCTTTGTTTGCAATGTTATCTATCTTTATTTTGCATTTATAAAGTTTATTTAGGGTTTTGCAGTGTGTTTTAAACATCTTTTTCATTTATCCTACCATTGGGTTCATTGGTCGTTCGTTTTAAGGTTTGTGCATTTTTAGAAATATATATTTTGTGCACCAGATATATTATATGCGCATGTCCAGTCCAGTTATAGTGTTCTTTTTGTTTTATTAAGTCTGTTATGGTAGTTGCATTATTATGCTTTCTGGGTGTGTACGTGGTTTGTGCTTTTATAGGGTATAGTATATGCGCAGTGCATCTTCAGATTTGTATTTGTTTTAATTCGGATAGGTATAATGGTGTGTGATTGGGATGTTAAATGCAGATTTATCTATGTTTATATTGCACTTATATTGTTTATTTATGGTTG